ACAGGTGATTCAAGGTTATTCACTTATTTGGCCCTTTTCGGCAATTCAAGGTTAAATTCCCAAAGGGTAACTTTTTGCTTAATAATATGGTTTTTGGCGCTAATTCAATAGCGTTCCTAACTGAAAAGATGGTGAAAAATAGAAGTTTGACTGTTTTAAGTTCTAAGTTTATATGCGTAGACTATCATCAGCGAATATTTCATCAACCAATCATGACTGTTTTCTTGTTGAGGCTGGCTAAGCTTAATTAGCTTAGGTTACATAGAATTGAAGGTCACATTGTATTGTTTAATATTATCGGAGCTTAGCAAAGCGAAACGGAGATTTAGACTCAGCTTAGCCATTATGAAAATCCACTTTTGGATACGATAAACAACGTACCGCTAAAAAGACTTGACCTAATGACTTGGATCCTGGAATGTTGAAAAAACTTTGCAGTTCATTCAAGATCATTTTACGGGACTTTGGCCTTCGAAACCATAAAGAGTCATAGTCGAAATCATTAGCTATCAGACATCATGATAATACCAAAAATAATTTAGGATTACTTTTAGTTTGTTCTGAAAAAGCATTTCTTCTTGTTATAGTTAGAAATTTCAATTAAAGTTTCACATTATCGACGAAATATAAGGTAAAATGTACAAACTTCCAATTCAAGTGAACCCGAAATTTCATTGAAATCCCATCATATGCATAACATAACCTGACTATCTGGGTGAAGTCAACATGCAGAAAAATATCATGTTATGATAAATATTAAGGGAACGACGATCCACACACGCTTATCGCATTTCCGATTATTATTGGAACTTATTCGTGGAAGAACGAAAAGATATCGAACTTTCACTGCTACAAATGCTAATTCGAGACAAGAAGTTCAAAGCAAAAGTTAAGATGCTCTTAAAAGTATCTGGAAAACAATCAAAATTTTGTGACGATAAGGGCAATAATTGCATCCAAGAACAAGAATTGAATAAAACCTCATTTTAATGAACTTCATTTTTAAAGATTTAAAATAATGTTTTGTTCATAACTTTGCTAGTTTAGTTAAGTTTGATGAAAATTTTGTTTAATTTTCTCTCAAAATTCATAATCTTATTGTCAATCAATGCATGTAAAAGTTTTAATAAGAGTCACAAGTGTTTAGTTGAACATAAATTGAAGTCAGCAATTTATTATTAATAAGAAGTCGAGAAAATTGAATAATCTTAAAGCTAAACAGTTTTGATAAGTTGAAAGTGAATGAACAATTTAAAGGTAAAAAATTTGTCCCATTTTTACATGCAACTCAAAATTGGGTAAAAAAGGTTGAATTTTATTGAACCTTTTATGTTTACTAAAATAAAATGTAACCCATTGTTTTGTTTTTACCTCAACTTTTATCACTTTTTTGGTCATCCAAAAGACTAACATTAAGGGAAGAAAAGTTATTGCATTTTGTCTTTTTATTGATAAATTTTGATGCTCTTTGATTATTGTTTTTGTTATCATCTTGTTGCAAGTACAGATTACATGATGAAAATGCGATTGAACATGAGAGTCTGAATCAAAGGTGGAACCAATCAGTTGCAAGATGTTTCACTTGTAACACGAAAAGAAAGACAAGAATTCTGAGGATAAAAGAAAAGAGGAAAAGAAGAAGAAGAAGAAGAAGAGCAAATATGATGAGACAAATAAATTTTTACGTGATTTGGTTATAGCAAAACTTTATCAGATTAATCATTAGTTTCATCCTTCATTTTTCCTCCTTCAAGGTAAACCAAGAGCACATGTAAAACTGAATGGTTCATTATGGTGTAAACATGAGAGAAACGATGAAACAAAGATTAAGACAAACTTTTGCTGCAAACCAAGAAGCTGTTAAGTTTTGCTCAGTTCAACAATTTAATTGAACTTGAATTTGCTTTTAAAATGTCACTTCTTTAAATGTCAACCTGACAAATTGGCACCACAAGATTGACTCAATTGATTTAAATTAACTCCAAGTGAAGTTTCACTCCCAGTGAGTCCCAGTGAATAACATTCCCGAAACTGTTCCAACAACTGTGAAGTTGAAAATATTTAAACAACTTTCAACTCTTAATAAATGTTGTTTGATTAACTTGATTAACTTGGAAGCACATAAAGGCTGTTAATGTTTCAGGAAATATTGAGTTTAATCACATTCTCATAATTGGTGACTTCGTTATCATTTGGTTGAAAGTCGAGAAGGAAAAGTTAATGATATTGATTATTTCATTGAAACAGCCTTCAGCTATTTATTCAATTCAATTTAAAATTCAATAGTTTGAATGAAATTCCAGTTTATTTAATTAAAAGTTTAACTTGAAAATGAAATGTTAACCAATCGTTGAAATGATTAAACATTGAACAGAAGCGTTTATGAATAATAAATTGAACCATTTTTAGCCACTTAAACTTGTAAAGCTTTAAGATTTTCATGTCAATTTAGCAGAGAATCGTGTTAATCATGAAATTTTAAACTTTTATGGAAATGAAAAGTTCGGAAAATGCAATGAATAAAGTTGAACAATGTTTTTGTTTTTTTCGTTCACTTTTCTGTTCTGTCATTTCTCAACCTTTTCTCATTCATTTTCAGGTTTCTCGCTGGTTTCTGCTTCATCTGTTCATCTTGAATACAATTCATTTCTAGCCTGGTTTTATCATGCAACATGATGAGTATGGTGATGATGTTGATGAAAAGGAATATTTTCTTTATAAAGAATCGCGCAAAAATGAAAATGTCTTTATCACATTACCATGCAACTTTCATGATAACCTTTACAGTCTTTTTTTCACTTGCAGAACAGAAATTTTTTTCTCTCTTTTCATTCTTTTCTTCATTTGAGGAAACTTTTTTGCACTTCCATTGCCTGCATCTTTATCATTTGGAATGTAAATTCATGAAAATTTCATTGATCATTTTTGTGACTTTTTTCTTCTCCCTGTTACTCTGAAACAAGAGAAACACTTTTTCAAGTTTAATATCGTTTTATAAGTGAATCGATTAAGGCATTTCTGTTTAGCTTTATTCTTAAACAAAGGTTGACTTTGATGATAACTATAATGAACAATGTTGACACAGCATCCTTGAAACTTATTTCAAGATTCTGATCAAAATACAAGCTAATCAGGCTCGTCATTAAAATTAGCAGAATTCAGATTTGCAAATTCGATTGAAGATAGTTTTGTCAAAATTTGATTATCTACTAAAATAGTTGACAGTTGCAATGACCAACTACTAAAGCGAGAAATTAAGTCTTTGCAATTCATTAAACATCCAACTCTAATGGTGATTCAACGCTATTTTGCTTAAAATGACAATTTGCATCAATTAATGTCTTTTAAGTCATTTGTGCAAAAGCAAAGTGAATAATCAAGAAGTTTTTGCGTTTTGTGATCGAGCAAAGATCTGCAAAATGTATAACAAACACTTGATCATCAGAGCAACAGAAATTCTGAACAAAATAGAACAAAACGAAGTCCCAAATAGCTAAAGAATCTTGTTTCTGCACTTACATTTCGTCAACTTCTAAGACTGAATTTTCGAAGGCACCAATGTCTTAATCATTTTTTGTCTTACACTGTTTTGTTTTCACAAATCGCAATCCAAGTCAAGCTTTGAACATGAAAGAAAATCAAACTGGAGTCTCTGCAATATATTGAAATATCTAATTCTAATGACAGTTTCACATTACTTTGCTTACAATAACATGTTTTTAAAGTCATTTGCAATCGTGCGAAAGCAAATCAAATAGTCAAACGAACAAAGATGAGAGTAAAAGCAAGTTTTTGAGTTTTGTGATCGATCACAAGATCTTCGCAAAGTTTAACTAACACTTGATCATCAGGAACAACAGAAAACCTAAACAAAATCGCACAAACGGATTCCAAATAGCCAAAGCTTGTTCCTGCACTGACATTTTGTTCATTTCTGTGACCGCATTTGCGAAGCAACAATGTGTGAATCAATTTCTGTCTGTTACAATGTTTTGTGTTACCAATTTGCAATCCAAGTCCAGCTTTGATCCAATTTCAGTTTTATGTTTCAAATAGTCTGCAATACAAGATGTAAAGCAATTGAATTTGCGTACTCAAGAATCAATTGAATCAAACAACTTGTATCAATATTTGAAGCCTAATAACATTATAAAAATAAAATCATTTCATTGCTCAAAATTAAAAACTGCAATCGTTTTTATTCACTTTTCTGGTTAATAATTGCTAATGAAATGCATCCATTGAATGCTGCAATTTTACTAACTAATGAGACTAATACTTAAGTGAATGCAAAACTATACCAGAAAAATGAAATCATTTCTAACCAAATAAAAGAACCATTGAAAGTGTAAAACTCGATATAAAGTAATATCATGAAAGAAGGTAAAAAATGCATCAATTGAATGATATACTAAAGTAAACTGTAACATTCTGGTGCAATGGAAATGGGAAAGACTGAAAATTAAGAGAACAAAAGTTGAAATGAATGAATGATCATCATCATCATTCTCATGATTGAGATCGCGAAGTGGTGTGAAGAGTAACAACTTGAGTAATCTTCATCTTAAACTGCAAGTAACAAGGTGAAAGTAGCTAAATATAATAGATAGTGGAATAGGGAAGTAAAAGTAAAATATCGATTTCTTTTCACTGTGTTTAGCTAAATCTTATTAAAGGCAAAAGGTAATATTGTTTAAATGTACAAAGATGCAAGTTGATTTAGTAAGCGCAACAAAACAAAAGCAACCCAAGGAACAAACTGAACCCTCCAAGTAATCACTTTTTATGCCTTTTCCATTCATCGACTAATGTTCAATTGAAAAGCAAAAGTTGAGATCAAAAATGAAGCACAAAACTGGTCATAAATTTTGTGACAATTATTCAAGTGAAACTGGATAAAAAGGTAAAGATTAATTGTTGTAATTCTGGTAAATGAATGTCAGGAAGAAACAGAAAACATTTGTTCTGTAAATGTTTTAAACATGAATAATTGTTCTTACCGTTCTATCACCAAGTTGGCGGATTTTGCAGTGAAGATGAGCAGTTTTACCCAATTGTGTGGTCACATTGTCAACGTTATTGTCGTCGAAGTAAGGCTTAAAGGTTGGATCGTCCCAGGATGACAAGGGACGTGAAGGGGGCTCTATCTTGGTTGTGGCCCCAAAGATGCGTTTATATGAAAATAGATGCGATTCTGAAGGTAGAAGAGATGAAAAGAGGAAAAGTTTAGTTCTGTGATCAATAAATGGAATGGAAAAAGATTGAGAAATGAATTTCATTTAAATTTTTTCTTCTCCATTCATTTGAAGTCATTCAGCTTTGACTGATTATCTTTCATTCAATGTTTTCCATCTTCTCTTGCTCTTCTTTTGTTTTCTTTTTTGACATCTTTTCATCTTGTTTAGTTCATCCTTTTTCCCATCATTATCATCATTGCTCATTCTCATTTTATTCATTCTCTTTCCCTGATTCATCACATTCATCACACATGTACATACACAGAGACACAGTTTCTCATCTTAATTTAGGGAATCCAAGAAGGCAAAAGGCGAAAAACAAAAGCAAAATTGTCACAAGAATAACCTTAAAATGTCAAAGACAATTTAGGGATTGAAAGGTTAATGGAGTCGCTATCAGTCTAACCAATTTATTCATTCATTTTTCCTCTTCCAGCATCGTTCAACTTTCGCATTTCCTATCAGATTTTTGCAACTTTTTTGTCCCTCAACTTTCTTACCCTAGGTCAGTGGATGGTCAGTAGAAGGAGAAAAAAAAGAGACAAAACTGAGGTAACAAGAGACACAATAGGTGTGTTAATACAAGATGCATTCAAGTTGAATGAACAACACGAAAAAGGAGTTTTCACAAGTTGACCAGAGAAAAAAAGAGACACTCATTGATCACATTATCTGATGAAGAAATGAAAATGAACAACAAATGTTGGATGAAAGACGAGCAACTGTTACAAAGAAAGTCAACTTAAACTCCCCGAGGCTGAGGTTAACAGAGACTTTGATTGAGTCTCCTTCAAGATGATGGAAAATGAGTGATGGAAAAATATTGTTCACCATGAGACACTTCATGAGACAGATTATGCTTCACCTTTCCTGGCCAAAGTTATAACCTTTTTCATTGAAAGTCAAAACTTGAAAAATTCAATCAACTTTAATTTACCAAGCTTGAGGCAAGTTTAACTCAAAATTTAGTCCAACACAGTTGACTTGTTAGGTTGAGACTTGCAAGTGTTGCCAGCCTTAGACTCGATGAAAGGGAAAAAAGTGTTCAAAACTAATCAAAACTGTTCAAATGTTTGGATTGGCAGGGAGTTGAACAAGTAAACCACTTGAAAGTGATCAGAGAAAAGTGGAATTTCGTTGAGATTTGAGATGAAAATTTGAAAACTTGAGATACATGCAATAATTATCTTTCATGATTATCAAGAGCTTTGTTTTGTTTCATGTTTCCTCATCAATTCTGGTTAATCTCATTAGACAATTACAATGAACTTGTAAGCACAACTTGACGTAAAATAAAAATGAACCAAATTGATCTAATTATATGTGAATGTTTTCCTGTGTTGATTGTCATTGAACGTTCCTAATCAAATTATTGGTTCACTTGATTAACTGATAACTTTAAAGTTCAAGTTATTCGAGAAGTGAAATTGAATAAACTCTGTTAATGCTTTTGTTGACTTGCAGTTGTAATGATAATAATCAATACATTTAGGCAATGAAAGGGAATCAGAATTATCGTCAGAAATTTCATTTTCTCTGGTTAAGCAGTCTGAATGTAACTTGAAACTTTATTCCTTGTGTGATTATTTTAATTGATTCAATTGACGGATGATCGATGGATAATGATTTGTGTAAAGATTGAGAATGAAAAATGTTGTTCCAATTAGCGTTGAAATTGGTCTGATTTAATTGTTGAGTGAACACAAAAGTGTAAAAAGATTGAACCCTGTCAAATGAATATTATTGAAAAGTAATCTGATAAAGTTTGTGACAAGAATTTTGATGAAAATTTTGATGGAAATTATGATTGAAATGTTTAAAGTTTGCGAATGATAAAATGTTGTCAACTGATTTGAATAAAATTTCAATGTAATTCAAATTGAAGTGACACAATTTGATGCTTATCAAGATGAACATAATGGTGAAAAATGAGGCAACTTTTCATTTTCTCCGACAAATTTTGTTCCATGCAAATTTGCTTACAATTTTCATGTTAATACATCAGATAACTAACTCTTACGTCTCGCTCAGGTTGATTGTCCATAGCAATTGAGTTTTAGGTCCAATGCAGAATCAATTTTTCTTTTTTCTTTTCAACCGGATTCGATTTCTACAAGAATTTACACAAAAAAATAGAGAACCACTTCACTTAAAGCTTTGCATTGCTTTAAAAACGATTTTCTGGTCGAATGCATTTCGAATTAGAAAACATTCTTCATCCAAATCTATCCAAGTCATCGATCGAATACGCATTTGTTGCTCGAAGTTTTATTTGATCAATTATGGACAATTAACATTCAAAACACCAATATGCTATCGCATTGAGACTCGTTTGAATGCCTAGCAAGTGTTTCCAAGTCTTATTATATTCGTTACGAAAACAATGCAAATGCTATCGTTTTGAGCTTCTGAGAAACAATAAAACTGACACTATTTCAACTTTTGCAATTCTACTAAGATTTTAGACCGATATTAACGATCATCTTTAGCGAATATGAGCACCTTTGATTATTTCTGAGTCTTGTTGATAAATTGTCTGGTTTTATTCGTCTTTGCGAATGTTTTTGGATCAATTTGATGAAATTAACTTTTCACATTTTGTTTTATTGCTCGAAATGGCCGATCATTTCAATCGTCCTTTTTGGCTCTTCTAATGAAATTAGCATTGAATTGTGATTAACAAGCTTACTTGACCATTACCGTGAATCACTAATCAATCAGTAAATCATTTTTAGTCTCAACCTTTTTGTACCAACTAATTGTTTCTGCTTTAATTGACCCTGGCTAATGATCGGACTCAATACAAACTGTAACTTTTATCGATGTCAATTTGAATTAACTCAAGAGACTCATTAAGTAATTGATTGCTCTTTTTGTTTCCTTCGTTACTTTTAATCTAATAACATTTCATACCAATTACAGCAGTTAATCAAGAGTCTAGAAGACCCGAAGTAAAGCAAATGAAATTTTTCAACTAATAAATTTCATGAGAACAAATCGATTGTAAATTTCCAAATGAATAACGATCAGCTTTTAAACTTAAAACTGAAACAATAAGCAAAACTGGATAGCAATTGATCGAGAACAAGATTGAGAGCGGAAAATGTTGAAAATGATCTTAAATTGGTCATCACATTCAATTCATTACCAGTCAAACTTCGTCTAATTCATTTAACTGTTAATGGTTAAACAATTAGATGGAATTGAATTAGGCATCATCAGGATTCCTGTCATCAAATCCAGGGAATTGTGATCCGGCTAACTTTGAAAGTGAATAAAAACTGAAACAAAATGAAGGTTAATTTAGTTATGAAAGAGACTTTAAAAGGTAAAAAGTTTTCTACTTCACTGTTTTATAACATTTCAGTCTAAATAAAGCTCAAGATGACTCTTGTTCACGGTACAATATTATTCAAAAATGAGTGGGTTTGATAGCGTTTGCAGGTAACAAAGAGAAAATAAAATAGAATTAAATTTACATTCCGAAATTGGAAATATTGACCAAAATACTATTGATTTTCATTCCACTTATACATTTGTATCTTTTCTCGTCAATTCAATAGTAATATTGTCTCAATTTGATTCTGCTTTGATTCAAAATTCATATAAATCTTCAAATCAAGCGATATCAACATGAATGCCAATTTAAGACCAATTATGGATTACTTTCAAACATCAATGGAAAGCCAAAAATGAACAATAGTTTCGCTAAAACATGATCATTGTAACACTTTAACATTAAACTAGAATAATTTTTCAAATGATTGGTTTTCTTTCAGATCATGCGAGTGTTCAAGTGGTTGAAGCAATATTGAAAATGCTCAACATTTACTTCATCATCAAAAGGAGCAGAAATGCATATTCAGTAACCCGAACTCACAATTTCCTCGAATAACATTACAATTGAAAATGGCTTTGAGATGTCAAAGCATTTGCAAAATTGAATTTGCTTAATTATTGGTTCAAAAGACAGTTATTAAGGATATTCAAGTATAAACATAAAATATTTAGAACCATTTTAATTTGGTAGAGTTAAATGCTGACCCGAACTTTTTGTAAAGAAAGTGAAACGAAATTTGATTGAATTAATTTTCAATTTTGAATAGCATGCAAATAAAGTTACAATAACGATTTTAATGTAACGTAACATTCGTACAAGGTTCGAGACTCGTGTTTTTATCTTTTAGAATCAAAACTTTTGGACTTTGAATGCATTTCGAATTATTTTGGAAAATTTTCGATTCTGATTAGAATTTAAAAGGCATTCTTTATTTAGTATTCAATCTGATGAATTTCGAATCGATTTTGAAGGAAATTTTTTTGCTGAAACAAAATTTTATGCTTATTTGTTTGTATTGTAAACTTTTAGTTTAAAATGAACCTTCAATTTGTTGGATTTAGCAAAAAGATAGAAACTTTGATTCGAAGGGCAAAGTTGAAATCAAGTTGCAAGTTGTTTGGATTTTCCGAGTTACTCTTGATTTGATTTTGTTTGCTATTTTGTTTGTTGTCTTTCGTTTGAAACGTGATAATGTTTCTGATGAATCGATGGATCTCATGTTGAACCCCATGAATCAATTGTTGAAAGGGAAAAGTAAAACATGAAAAAAGAGCAACAACAAAAACTGGGCACAAGTTGATCAATTTAACCAAAAAGATAAACAATGAGAATTGATCAGCACATTAAAGTAGTTGTTCAACATTACATTTGGATTTGGTAAGCGTAAAGACTAAGTCAATAGATCAGTTAATTGCTCAACAAAAGCAAACCCAGAACAAGTAAAAGATCAGGAAATTGGGTAAAACCAATAATATACAATTTCACCTAAAAATGAAATGTCAACCCGAAAATTGAGTTCCACCCTGAAATAGACTTAACCAACCAAAAGAAGTGCAAACTTGAACAAACCCAAAACATTTCCAAAGCTATTAACTCAACTCGAACCACAACTTGACC